AACTTCATTTTTATTCATTGCTGGCTACGAAGCAGCGAGCGAAATGCAGCAGGCCAAGCAGCAGGGCAGGGCAGGGGAGATGGGAAGGAGGCGATCAGTAGCCTTCGCTGAGTTCCCTTCCCGCTGGCCTTGCCGACCATGGAGACAGGTGTGTCTGGAATGGGTGGTGCCTCCGCCTCCCCTCCGGGGGGGAATTAACATGTGGGAAAGGCCCAGTGAGGACAGGGCAAACTGCAGTTTTAACATGACTTTGCAGGTCAGATAACAACAAACAGTCACTCAAGAGGCAGACAGGAGGGGAGAGCTACAAACTGTTGGGTCTTCCCCAAGATTTGGCTCATGTCCATCACCCTGGGGGAAATAAAGCAGCTGTTTCCCTAGCAAAGAGGCAGGATTTCCAAGGGAGCCGACAGACGCTGGCCTTGAACCTGACTCCTAACTCCCCTGGACTCCCTGACTTGATGCTCATGGGTTGGGCACAGCCTGAATTGCGCGATGGCTGGGGGGCTCAGCCTGGGTGGGCTCAGCCCCTCTGCAAAGCAGCCCCTACATCTGGGCCTCTCCAAAGGACAGAAGCGGCGCAGCTCTGGCCTGTGAAGCGATTCCTGGCACGACTCAGGGCTGCAGCCTCCTCATTGTCTCCTGTATCCAGGTGATGAAGGTGGAGACTCTTGTGTACACCCCGGGAGGACAGTAGGACCCCCAGGAGACGATGCCCTGGGCTGTTTTCCCACACACCAGGGGGCCCCCAGAGTCGCCCTGTGAAATGAAACAAGCCACAGATGGAGAACAGGTCAGTGAGTCATTTCCCACTGATGCACAGCTCAGTGACACCTCCCCACCCTGTGCAGCTGGTCTCAGTGTCCACCCTGATGTCCCCCCAGTCTCTGCTTGCCCCCCCCCTCCCCCCACGGCCCAGCTGGTCTCAGCGCCCCACCCTTTCCCCTATCCAGCTGGTCTCTACCTCCCTCCGAGAGAAGACCAGTTAGTTTCCCATTCACTTCCAGAGCACCTAGTGCAGCGGGGCCTGATCCCCAATAGCCCCTCGTAGGCCCGACTGCAACACCAACAGCCTCATTAATAATAACGATTTATCAAGGGAATTTGGAGCCAGGAACAGATTTACCTTTGCAGAGTCTTTGCCCTTCTCTGGGTCCCCCACACACATCATTGTGAAGGTGTTATAGTGACGAGATATACACTCGTCATCCTCCAGCACCTCCACATCCACCTCCTGGAGTGTGGTGGCCAGGGTTAAATTATTCTCTGCTTCAGTCCTGCCCCAACCGGCAACGCTGCATTTCGTTCCTGGCTTTACTTTCTTCTTGGTGTGGGGCAGGTTGATGGTTTTCACCCATCTATTCAGCTTCGCTCTCTCTGCCAGCTGAGAGACAAGACCGATGAAGATCAACATGAGGGTCGCACTCAAGGACACACACACACCCTGTCCCCAACAAAAACCCATGACCATGGGGTCACTGGAGGCGCGGTGATGGGATGGGGGTGGTACCTGAAGCAGTCTAAGGTCAGAGCGGGGAGGTAATGGGATGGGAGCAGTACCTTCAGCAACATGATGTCATTATTGTGGGGCTCCTTGTCATAATCCAGGTGCGGGTATTGGTGATCCACAACAATCACTTGTTGGCTCTCTTCGCGTTCTCTAATGTTATGGGCTCCCAGCGTGACAGTGATCTTGCTGTAAAACCAAGGAGCAATATGTGGGGCGTTAGGGCAGGAGCGTACGTGAGGAGGGGGATGCGCACATGAGGGTCTGACTCATGAACAGTGACATGGAGGAGACAAGGCAGCCTGGGGTCTCCGGCCGAGATCTCAGTCTCTGCCTCTGTACAGCTCCGATCCGGTCCTAGGACTGGGGATTGGCTGGCTGGGTGGTGGGGGGCGGAATGGCACAAGGGGCCCTTCCCCTCTAGGGGTTGCTGGTTGCAGCATAAAAACCTGCCCAGTGGTGTGGGGGTCCCAGCCTCTGTCTCCACCGACCCCTTGTGCTGTTCCCATGAGCTGCTTCACTCCTCGTTGTTCTCCCATCCCCTGGGTCTCAGCTCCCATCGAGCCCAGTGACCCCTCCCCGGCATGATCCACACAGGAGTCTATGCCTAGGTCCCCCCAGCCCTCAGCCCTGCAGAGATGTCTTGGGGCTGTGAGCCCCTCCCTGCCCCGATCTGGGCAATAGGCCAGACCCCAGCTGGTGTCAATGGCCCTATCCCCATTGATTTACCCAATGCTGGATCTAGACCGTGGTTTACATAGGCCCCTAGAGACACGCCAAGGCCCCCTGAGCAGATCAGACCTCTGGGCTCTGCTCTCCCAGCCTGTCCTACTAACGGCTCCTTCCCTGCAACCTACAACAGCACCAGAGCTCCCGGCTCCCCCATCATCTGCTAACCCCGACCTGCCCCGACATCCCCAGCACAGAGGCGCTTACTCTCCCTTGCAGTGAGCGGCCGTCAGCACGAAGTTCTTCGCCACCAGGAACCCTCCACAGAGAAACGTATTGTTTCCGCGTTCTATAATCAGAAAAGCCATGTAGGGTCTGGAGTGGGGCTGGGCTTCCTGTCCCCCGATGATCTCCCCTGGGGAGAGACCAGGTTCATATAAAGAGCACCATCATCTCGCTGTGCCTGGCTGGGACCCAGCTCCCCATCCCAAAGAGGAGTCTCCACAACATCATCCCATCCCCTCTGATACTCTCCTTGGAGGATCCCTGTGCCTGGAACTCTTCCCCCTCCTCATTTCTCCCCCAGACTGGACACCCCATGGGGCCGGAGGGTAAATCTAAAGCTCTGACCTGCCTGGGTGGATAATCGGTACCAAATGCACCAGGAGGGGGGCCGTAATTGCGCTACCTGGAGTTAACAGCTTTGGGAGGGGCAACGTCATCCCGGATTAGGCCAGGCAGCCCCCAGAAGGGCACTGACAGGTCCCTTGTGGTTGCTTCTCCTTCTCCATTGACCCACAGTGACCAACCAAGACGGACCAACTCCAGTAGAAAATTGTGGTTTTTACTAAGGGTATTTTTTTCTCAGAAAGCCTTTTCTCTTCTTGAACATGTCTGATTTTTTCTTGTGAATCTGATTCTTTCCCCCTGGGTTTTGGTAATTTTTAGGTGGAAGGTTTCAGGTTTTGCTCGCTGTAAAAGAAAGAGTTTTGAGTTTTTTCCCATGGAAAAATGAAAAACCTTTTGTGATCTGCTCCAAACAAGTCTCCACCCAAGTGGGTGGACGAGTTGGAAAATGCCACTTTCAACAAATTGCTGTTACAGTAGAGCCTCAAAGTTACCAACACCAGAGTTAGGAACTGATCTGTCACCCACACACCTGATTTGGAACTGGACGTGTGCAATCAGGCAGCAGTAAAGACAAAAAAATGGAAGAAAAAGAAGCAAGTACAGCACAGTGCTGTGTTAAACATGAACTACTACAAAAATAAAGGGAAAGTTTAAAAAAAAAGCTTTGGCAAGAAAAGGAAACTGTCTCTGTGCTTGTTTCATTTCAATTAGGAGGGTAAAAGCAGCATTTTTCTTCTGCATAGTAAAGTTTCAAAGCTGTATTAAGCCCATGTTCAGTTTTAAACTTTTGAAAGAACCAGAACGTTTTGTTCAGAGTTAGGAACAACCTCCACTCCCGAGGTGATCGTAAGTCTGAGGTTCTACTGTATTTGCATTAGGGTGGCACCTAGACCGAGATGTGCCAGGTGTGGCACAGACCCCGACCAAGATCAGGGACCCCATTGTGCCAGGCCTTGCACTGACCCACAATCTCTACCCCAAAGAATGTCCAGCTCAAACAGACACAGGAAGAAACATTCTTCTTATTGTACAGATGGGGAAACTGAGGCCCAGGGAGATTGTTCCTAAGTGGTTTGGGTGCCATGAAAATCCCAGTTCCAGGGACTGGCCCAATATCCGCACAGGAAGCCTGGGCAGAGCTGGGAAATGGTCCCAGATTTCTTGTGTCCCAGCCCGGTGCCTTAGGCCTGTGACCAACCTCCCTGTCTGGGGCTTGGCTTCATAGTGGGATCCCAAAAGAGCCTGAGGGTCCCCAGCCGCACTCAGGGGAGGCTACAGGTTTCCTAAAGCCCCCATGGCCCAAGCAGGATCCGGGGGAGACCCTCAGTGATGCCCACAGGTCCCTCTGCCATGTGAGGGCCCAACTCCCCACAGGCTCCACTTCCTTCCCCACACTCACCAGCCTGAGCCCCAGGGGGCAGGAGAGAGGACAGGGGAAGCAGGACCAGCATGAAGAGCTGCATCGTCAGGGCCATCCACGGACAGGCACGGAGCCTCTGCCTTAGTCCTGGGGGTTATATGGACCAGGGAGGGGGCTGGGAGGGCCCAGCCTGGGAACCACAGAGGCACGTACACTCCTGCCCAGAAACGTCCACCCCAGATGGGCCAGGAGCAGAGACGCCCACTGGGGAAGCCTCCAGCCACAGCTGTGCCCATATCAGGGTGGGGGGTTTCCTCCCTGCTCTGGTACCCACCCAGCCTGGCTGCGGATGTGGTTAACCCTGCCCCCTTCCTACTACAAGTGTAAAAAACACCCCTGGGCTTCTCTGCACTGAGATACCCAGACCCACAGATTTCAAGTCCTGGAGGGAACATGGTGACCTCCCAGCCTGACCCCCTGGGCACCCCAGAGTCAGAACCCACCCAGCGACTCCTGCTTCCACCATGGCCCCAGGTCCCCTGGCTCCCTGGTCAAAGTTTGCACCTTAACACATCGCTGTTATTTTCAATAGGGTGGCACGTAGACCGAGATTAGGGCTCTCCATTGTGCTGGGCACTGCTCAGACCCACAATCCCTGCCCCAAAGAGTGTCCAGCTCAAAGAGACACAGGCAGAAACATTCTTCTTATTGTACAGATGGGGAAACTGAGGCCTAGGGAGATTGTTCCTAAGTGGTTTGGGTGCCCAGTTCCCACCAGCATTCCATGAAAATCCCAGTTCCAGGGACTGGCCCAATATCCGCACAGGAAGCCTGGGCAGAGCTGGGAAATGGTCCCAGATTTCTTGGGTCCCAGCCCTGTGCCTTAGGCCTGCGACCAACCTCCCTGTCTGGGGCTTGGCTTCATAG